GTCGCCCGAAGATCAGGGATTCCCGTTGCTTTAATCCAGCGCCTGAAGTGCTCCGACGTCAACAAGATGTATTGGTTACCCCGCATGGTTAATGGAAAGGCTCCATCACGTCGATCGACCATAGTTCACCAAGTTCCGGTACCGGAATCGGCATCACTGGTTCTTGTGATCCTCGGCAGTCGGTTTTTAACAGCTGACATTGCTTGCACGAAAGCATTTATGTCTCGAAATGTTTCTTCATCCAGGCCAATAGGCGCGTTGTTTCAGCAGGTCGTAGGTCATGAAACAACCGGTGTGCGCCATTTCGTGAAAAGAAATCACCAGCCTCCGCCTTAGTTTCACCGAAATAACAGGCACCGAAGTGCTGCTACCTCCTGGTATCCACAGCAGGATCCCCGTTTCAGTTGATTGTGCCTGTTCAAGATTTTTTTCAAACGGTTCGAACTGCTTGTGTTAGCCTTCGTTTAAGCCTGATTGACCGGTTATTCGTGCAGTGATCACTTTGGCAAGAGTTTGTCACTACGTTGCTCGGCTGTCAAATGTCCCGGATCCTGCTCAAACAGTATACCATTAACACCGAAAGCCACACTCGGCAGGTCCTCTTCGTACATCATGAGTGACAAAAAATCCGCAGTTTGGTTCTCCTTCCCCGGCACGTGGTTCATCGTGAAAGCGCATTCCTGTAGGCGTAGCACCCATCGCGCTAGCTTTTCCCTGGGGTCTTTGGCAGATTTAATCCATTCCAAAGGCTAGTGGTCCGTTTCGACGTACAATCGCTGACCTAACAGATATGGCCGCCATTTGTCCAACGCCCAGACGATTGCGACATTTCTTCTCTGTGGCTGAGTATTTGCGTTCTGCCGGTGTCAAAATTCTACTGGCGTACTAAACCGTCCCATGGCTTTGTTTCAAACCCGCGCCGACTCCGAAATAGCTGGCATCCATGGCCACCGTAAACATCTCACCAGCATTGGGCAATTTCAGCGTCAGCTCCTGCCTTCCCATTTCCTGTAGAACGCGATCGTAACCATGTTGGCCTCTGTAGTCCAAGCGAATTTCTTATCCTATTTCAGCAGCTCGTACAAGGGTGAGGCCAAATTGTTGAATTCTTTGACGAATTTGCTGTAGCACCCAACACGGCCCAGGAGCCCTCAGAGAGTGCCCTTTGAGGTAGGAACTAAAGTGCTTTGAATTGTCAATATTTTCTCAGGCAGTGACTTCAGCTTATCTTGTCCCACTGTATGGTACAATAAGGTGACACAAGTCCGGGATTTCGGTCCATTTATAAGGAGTCCACACTGCTGGATCCGTTCCAAGGCTGCTTCAAGATGACCGCTGGGCGCCGCCCCTGATTGGTTATGCACCAAAATAGCATCCCTGTACACCGCCACGTTCTCGAAGCCACACAATAAGCGAAACATTCAACGTCGGAAGGCAAACGGGCTCTAGATAATCCAAAAGGCATACTCTTAAATTGGTATTGTTTTTCACCGACAGCAAATGCAGCTTTTTCTCGGTCTTCTCGTTCGATCACCAGTTGCCAGTACCCAGATCTAAGATCTAAAACCGTGAATACCCTCGAGTTTTGCAATTTATCTAAAACCTCAGCAACTGATGGCACTGGAACGAAGCGACTCAAGGAGATTTCATTCAGCCTTCGGAAGTCCACACAGAAACCGTACTTCCCATATGCCTTCATAATGACCACTAGAGAAATGTATGGGCTGAGCGCCCCCTCAATCACATCCGCGTCCAGCATCTCCTGTGCTTGCATCTTCACTTCAGCCTCCAGGTGGATTGGTATCCTTCGGGGTCCATGGGGCGGATACGTCTGGCGGGTTAGCAGGATGATGTGCTCGATCCAGTCGCTAAATTTATACGGGCTGCCGTCATCCGTAAACAAGGGGCGATACTTTGTGATCAGTGACTGCAAGGTCGGGCTCAAATGTAACGTGACCACGACCGATTGCGAAGATATCGTTTCTCTACGGCCAATATGTGGTAATGACTCGCGCTCAGTCAACAATTTCCCACGTTTTAGATGGCGATAACCTTACTGAACTCCAGGAAAGCTGCCCCAATATGGTTTGTGTTGCATCTGGTGACACGATAAAGATGTGTGTTAGTTTCCGTCCACCCGGTTCCCACAGTGTGTTCGGCCACACCAGCAATTCTTACTGAGTGACCGCCAACAGCTCTCATGATCATGGAGCACGATTAAAACTTTTCGCCCAGCTGATGGTTGATCAGTGACACCGCGACACCCGTATTGATAAGATACCGTTCCATCGTTCCGTCTACTTCCACTATTGCTTCGATCGCCCCCATACTTAGCGACCCGAGTACACATTCCTCGATCAGAGAAAAAAAACAAGGTACACGAGTAACACCGGACATTGTCTTTGCCAGTGTCCCGGTTTCTCTCAAAGGAAGCAACATTCCCTTGTTCGCTCCTCCGAACACTGAACGCGAAGCCCATTGACGTCTTCCGCGAGCTGTTTCATCATCCGGTAAAATTTATCCTTCCGCTCCACGCCCTCATGCGGTCCCGCCTTCAGCGCAGCGAGTGGTGCGTCGCCCAGCTCTCGAGTAATCTGTACCAACTCCTCCAGCCGTATTCACCGAGTAAAATTCGCCATCCGGATGCGCTCCGCGGTTGGCTGTGGGAGACTGGTCATGAACTGATCCACCAGTAACTGCTGTTTTGACGGCTCGTCCATTCCCGGCAAGGCTCGTTCTAACAAGCAACTGATGTGGACTGCAAACATGAAGGGATCCGTCTCTACACCAAGCCGCGCCATGTCGAACCGCCGCATCGCCACCTGGCGGTCGGTCGGTGCGTCCAATCCGGAGACCAATGCATCCTTTGCGGCAGCCCACTCCAATTTGACTGGGCCTCTTCGCGCTGCCCCCAGAACTGTCTTCGCCTTGCCCTTGAGGAGACTCCGCAGGGCCACTAGCTTCGCCCGGTCGGTCTTGACTGCAACCATCTCCGCCACATCCTCGAAGTGCTCCAAGTGGCGAGTTACCTGCGCTACGTTACAGTGTTGTGATATGAACACATGTGGCTTTTTACAGGGAAAACATTTCTCAAGCGATGACCCGCCGTCCTGAAACACTGCCGCCCAACACTTCGCTGGAACGTGTTAAACCCGAACCACCTATCTGGCACTACGAGGAGCTAGTTAGGTAAGCCAGCCAGTAGTGCAGTAAGGATGGAACGAACCCAATTGCTGTACTATCGTTTTCGAAAGGAAACGGAAATTATAAAATAGCGCGCTGCGGCTGCCGAGAGCACGCCAACTAACAGCATCATCAATACACGTCAGCTGAGGGTGAGAGACACATTGCAGCTAATGTGCCGCAATACAAAAAGATACGATACTAAAAAATTACTGACTACAAAAATTCAATAAGCAAGTACTATAATGTTAAACATCGCATTAAGCATTTGGGACGCCAACTAACGTTCAGAGTGAAACGCGGCAAATGGCACTCTATTGTCTAAACAAGCCTCTAGGTGCCTTCAGTAACCGCAGCGCTTTCCTCTACCGATTGGCGCACAATTGCTAAGTTCGGCTTCATCTTGAGCTCGTTACGTGGTCATCAACACAAGCCCCTGTCAGTGCTTGGGTCGAAGTGTTTTAGTGTTCACTCTCTGAACCGGAGATGTCCGCTGACGCTCCTGAGATTGGCAGAGCCAAAACAACCCGACACATATTCGAAAGCTCCATCCCATCCAGTAGATTCACACAGCTGTTGATTTTGACGGTTTCAACCGCCTGATCAGCCTTCGGGGTATTGACCATAACCCAATCCTAACGTTCTCGACATTAGCCAAGTTTAATTCATGACTTGCAACTCGCGCTCGCGATGCTACGGCCGAATCTTATGGTTGAGCTATGCAATCAAACTCGTTCCTCGGTTGCCGTGTTATGCGCTTCTTGTGTTTTGCTATCCTCGTGCACAGTTCTCTTGCACTTTTGCTTATGTACACGTCTGTGTAGTCTTTGCAACTAATGTTGTGGACGCAATCAGTTGTCTCACCTGCCGGAAGTGGTCCTTCAAGTACACCAGAGTCGAACGGAGCGTTTGGCCCTTCTGGAAAGGTACACTTTTCTTTGTTTAATAACCTCCGCAAGGTTTCCAGAAGAGTTAAAATTATTAAGATGAACTCACGGCGAAAGTCCCGAGGTCGCAGTAACTACGGAGCACGAAAGCTGAATTATTATTAAGAAAAGTTGGTAACACGCTTTTAACGAATATGCACTGTTGCGCGAAGGCGTGGTAAAGTGGAGCAAAACCAGACTCAAGTAAAATAACACAACAATGGTTTATTTTAAAAATCCCCCTGTAATTGTAGACAGGAAAATCATAAAACGTAATTCGTGAGTTGCAGATGATTGTGGTAGTTTATTGGAATGGGCGACACAGCGCAAACGGAACTTTCCAATATAGAGGGAGGCTGCTTGGTGCATATATATTCATAGACAGTTGGGCCACTGGGGTCGGTTATTTTTAAGCACACGGACAATAATACCAATGATGTCAATGCTGGATAATATTCACACTGTAATTTTAACGAATCAAGTGCACTGAATCCATGCGGAAATGAGACTCGATTAGAAGTAGATGCTATAAGTTCAGCGCAAGACGATTGGGTGCCAAGTTTATAAGACGATCTATATGAGCAGTTGGAAGTTTAGATAAGATGTTGTGTAGACCTAGTGGATGGCGTTTGTGCCACGGACGACCGTTACTCGCTTCCCCGCATGTAAATAACACCAATTGTCAACGGGTCATCCAGAATGTCGAAGGAATTACCACAAGCGAACTAGTATGTTGCCATCCTAAAAAGCTTCTAGGACCGTTAATTACCCGTGACATGCGTGGCAAGTCCTAGTAAAATTTCTTAATCAAAAGGAGCAGTCATGTGCTACACACAGCCTCTAGAAATAACTGAACTAATCATCTTCTCTTATCTCCCACACTTTGTGCAGACATTGGCATTTTCCTACGTGGCCGGAGCCATCAGTTGCAGCTACGGGACAATCTCTGTGCTTTCCACGGTGGTGATTACCGCGGCCACTTGTCTTCTGGTCTCTCTCTTCGCCGCAACGGGTTGGATCGATTTCACCAAATGCACTGCGCTCCTACTTGTGCTGTCAATCGGGCTGATTTTGTTCGGTTTGGCTTGCATGGTGGTCTATCTTGTGTTAGGTCCTAACAAAGTGAGTTTCGTCCTAAGTGGTATACAACTTCATGACAAGTCCAATAATATTGGATTTCCCGGTTTGCAACCGACACGGCTTTGTTGTACGTAGCAAACAGAAAATTGAAGTGAAGTTTAATCGGACCAAGGTCATAAAAGTCATGGGATCATGAAGAGTGAACAGTTAATGGTAAAATGCACGTCACTGATAAGGATGACGATACACGGGAATGGGTGTAAGAGAGCCGTTCTGAAGAACCGTTGACAGAGGCAATAGCACTACAGAAAATTGCCTTGATCCGTCAGAAACAATGGTTTATGCCGGATAAAAAACATTGGTTTAATAGGTTTCGTTGGTTGGTCAGAGAGAAAAGCACAAAAACAGAGATCACACATGCGAAAAATCAAAACAGCGGGATACTGGCACAATAGAAACAAGATGATTGAAATGAGATGGTAGCATATCTAAAACAAGTTATCATACTTAACGCCACAGGTAAAGAGCAACCGAATTGCTCACCCGAACGCCCGTAACCTTAAGGATCACAAACCTGCTTTGTAGTCCGAAAACGAAGGTTCGAGCCTGCTTAAGGGACCGAATGAACCTTGCAGTGTCCTTATCCCACGTGTTACTGGTGGTGGTTGCGCGGCAGCGAAGCGTCGGTACAACGTACCGGCGTACTGCTGATTCTTCTTCTTCTTCTTCACTAAGTTATGTGCACCAGGGTGGGTGATAATTCCAAAGAAGGCCGCTCACCGTAATACATTCCAGAGTATCTATTTAAGGTTGAAACCCCCAAACAATCAATTACACAGAATCTACGGATAACAATATACTAAAATTAAACTGCAATGTTTATTAAGCTTAACA